ACGGAACCGGCGAGACCAGGGAGTGCCAAGGATAAAGTCGTACCCAGTCTCCAGCACGTCGAAGTAGGCGGAGGAATGGTAGCGCCGAGGCGCCTGGGTACTATCCGATGGCTGGAGGGTGAGGGAGAAGTGGAGGTCGGGGACCGTCTGATCGAAGAAGCGCTGCGTCTTGTTATCTCCGAGGGTAACGGCGATAGGAGAGCGAGACCCAGAGGTAGCTAGGCGAGCTTCCTCAACCACTCGAGGATGAACGAAATCTCCTTGCGAGCTAGAGTCCCATAAAGCGCGGTACACCCTCGTAGATGTCCCGAAGCGAATAGGGATGATTGGTAGGGTGCGATCAGGGTCAGAGAGCAAGGCGAGAAGACGACGCAGGACGTTGATGTGTCTCGTGAGGCTCTCCTGACGAGCCTGCAGAATCCTCAAGTCCAGGAGAGATGACACAACGTCATCGCGAGTCGCCAGCTGAGCGCCACAACGGGTTGTGCGAATGGCGCCACGCGTCGGAAATCTCAAGCGAGAAGTGCTAGATGCGGCAGTCTGTTGGGAGGCAGACGGTACCTCGATAAACGATGGGGCGGAGAGAACTGCGTCTATCGTGTCCTGAGGGTCCTCTGGTGGGGTAGCCAAAGGGGCAAACCGCGACTCGGTGGTCGGAAAGCCGGCTACGTGCGAAGCCTCAGGGGCACAGTGGCCGGGCGGGGCCAGGGGGGGACTGAGATCGACGCTGACGAGAGATGTCAGCGTAGTGCCGATCGAGGGCGGTATGGTATGGACACCGTGAGGAGGTGTGTCCATCTAGGCGGCAACGAAGGCAGCCGCGCCGGGCCTCGAGGGCGGCACGCTCCTCAGAGGATAGAGCTCCGCGAGGAGGGACATAACCCTGCGGGAGGTCTACCTGAGGAACCGTGGGTGTGCGGGCGCCAGCCTGTGCAACCCGACTACGAGCACGACCCATGGCAGACATGGCCATCAGCAAGCGCTCGGCCACCKRAASAGTGTCGTCATCCAAGTGATACTGGATGACGTCTCGTAGCTCGATGTCCTCGGGGGCGTCCCCAAGGGTAGGGTCAAACTCGGCCAAGGCATCCTCGCCGTACTCCAGAGAACTGTAGCGCTGAGAGAATGACGCTCCAGGGCGGGTCGGGCGACGAAAACGACCAGCAAACGAGGAGCGACCTCGGGTGGTACCCCGAGACTGAGAGGTGGCGGCTGGCCGTGAAGAGGATGGGGCGACGGAGAAGCGACTGCACATCCTCTGGTACTGACACGCAGCCTCGTATGCCTGCTCCGCGGAAGAGAATGATCGTCTCCATAGCTCTAGGCGATAGTCAGTCGGCAGGCTGACAAGGAACCGGTCGGTGAGTGTGACCTCCGGTAGGAACATCTCGTCACAAATAAGGCGAGCGTCCTGAAACACCCGGATGTGACGTTCCAGGTCGGCTGGTATAGAGGACCCGGACTATCTGGTCTGGGTGACGCGGTCTAAGGCGTCGGTGGCGTCATGACGAGCGCCGAAACGGTCCTGAAGGAAGGCCGCGAGTCGGCCCGAGTGGGAACCTCACCCACGCAGAGGCGCTGGGTATAGTGGAAGGGCTACCTCGCAATTTGGTTGCGAGCACATCGCACCACAACTCCTCACGGGTGGTCGTCATAGAGAGCGTGCGCGTTGCTATCTGCAACCAGCGAGAGACACGGGTTGTGCTATCATACTCGGGAATGTCCGTGGTGCGCACAGGAGGATGTCCACTGTGCTGATGGCGGGGGGAGAGAGATCGAGGCGAGTGCACTGCAGCAGCGTAAGTCGAGGTCGCTGCAGGGGCAGAGGTGGGGGAAGGCTGTGGGCCGTGGCCGCTAGCGGATGGACCAGCAGACGAGGAGGCAATGGCCGCGGGCAGCTGTCCCGGAATAGCCAGGTAGGAGGGAAGAGGCTGAGGAGCAGGTCGAGGGAAACGAGCTTGCATCATGGGGACCGAAGGGGTGGTAGAGGAAGAAGGATGGGCAGCCTATGATGGGTGAGGCTGTCTTAGAGCGAGAATCTCCATCTGAGCCTGCGCAATGGTGGCCTGTAAAGTGGCCACGCGCTGGGTGCGCGGGGTCGGAGGTGGAGGGGGCGGAGCGGGTCTCCCAGTGAGAGGAGGAATCCCAGCTTGGGCGGTACCCTACTGTGGGGGTGGGGGGACAAAGGCGGGAAGAAGAAGGCGGAGCCATATTGCCGCGACCGGTGCGGGAAGCTGGGAAGCAACACCGATGTGGGTCGATGAAACTGTTGGGCCTCGAGGCGGTACCTGGACCGCAGTACCTATGGCAGTAGTAGAGACGGTAGGGGCGGCCGTGGCCGGGAGAACTGCCGCAGCAAACGGGGTGGTCTGAGCGGCAGCAGCACTCGCCACTGTTGCGGGGGAGTGTTGGGCCTGGCTCGTAGAGGAGGGGGAACCACGATGTCTCCGACTCTGGAGTCGTGGGGAGCCGGACTCGGAGCCGGTAGGGGATGGGGTATGGAAGCGGTGGGGAGAGTGATGAGGAGAGCCCTTGAGGCGGTTGACGTCAAGGGCAAGCGCATTGATTTGCGCTTGCAACGGTCCAAGCGTACTAAGTTGCGCCTGAATCGCTACAAGGGTGGCATGAAGGTCCATCGTGTCCGCATGGGCCTGACCCTGATCCGCTGGCTAAACGCTCACCTGGGAGGTGGACGGCGCCGCGGTGATCTCCTCAAAGGAACTCCCTTCCATGGTCGGAAGGGAGAGGGAGGTAGAGCTCACGGGGGTGTGTGGGGAGAGGGGCCCGCCGATAAGAGGAAGGGGACCACGGGAGCGGAGTGAGTATGTGTGAGTCGGCTCACCCCGGATTTGGCGGGTCGCGCGTGAGAAGAACGCACCAAATCGCTCGAGGGGGGAGGAGCCGTTCGGGTTCAGGGTGCCCGACGGGAGGAGGCGGGAGAGTAGGGGGGTTAGAAGAACTATAAACCCTAAAAAAACCCTAAGAAAACCCTAACCGGAATTTAAGTGGTTAGAGAAGGATAGCGGCGACCTAATCAAGAAAAAGATAATATGGAAGGGGGGGGGGGGAAGAAAATAGAATAAACAATAAAATTTCAAGATAAAAATAAAATAAAAGAATAAATAAAAATAAATAAATAAATAAAATGTAAAGAGTGAGGAAAGAGATAATGTTTATTTTTTTGGAATTTTCGGCAGCATTTTCCCACCCCGCATGGGGTCAAAAATATGCAAAGAGGAAGGAAAGT